TGTTTGGGCTACTCAAATATTTTACGTTTTTGATACTAAATTAACATCTGAAGTATAATTTTTTATTATTTTTATATTTTTCAATATATTTATTTTGTTTGTACAAAAATAAAAAAATAATTTTTAACGATACAATAGTCTTTGTTAGGCTTAACATCGACGAAAATTCAACGCGAAGCGACACGCAACGGATAAAAATTTCGACATCGAATACGTTAAACTATTTTTTCGTACGTAAATCAGTTATCCGAAATATCAGTTATCCGGACAACCCCAGTCCCCAATTGATTCGGAAAATCGACGCTCTACTGTAATTAAATAACTAATAATTGAAGCGAATAATTAATTAGCCAAGAATGTTAAGACATCACGTAAAAACAAAACTAGACCGGAAATTAAATAAAAACTTGTCATTCCTGAGATACACAAAAGTAGTAAGACTCAGCCTTGAATAAACGTATGAAAACGCATATATTCGATTTCTCTAATACGAGATATTTTTTAGAATCGATTCGTGTATGTGTTATAAAATAGTTATGGGTCCAGCGAAGGCGTAATGATAAATATACGATAACAATACATACGCCTACTGCAATATTAAAACTTTTCTCTTCTCTCTTCAAAGACAGATACGGAATGGCATAAAAATCACAAGCAGAACGGAAAATAAATTTAACCATCGAACATTAAAAGTTTGAAAAGATAAATTTACGAAATTTTTAAATGGAAAATTAGCTCTGGCGTGTAATCGAGGAGATCGAGATGACGATAACTGTAAGATGATATCCAAAAAGTAATGGGAAGTTTTGAAACAGAAACGGAGTCGTATTGGAAGCCGAGATTATTATTTATATAAAAAATAAACTTCCAAATGATTTCCAGTTAGGCTTACATTCACCAAACTGAAAAAAAAAGAAAAGAAATATCTAGAAAGTAATTTCGACGAAATGTTTAAAAACAAAAAGTAACTGATTAGATACTATAGACTACATGACAAAATTTAAATATCAGAATTTTTTTCTATAATCAGATACAAATACTAAGAAAATTACGTTAAAAACAGAAATATGTAATTCTGTTTTAGGTATTCGAAAATTAAAATGTATAAGATTTACTATTTTAAATTAAATAAGAGGAAAGAAAAGTTTCATAAGGTAACAGTTTCAGATCGATTAGAAAGTATATTACTGGATTCAAAAACGGAAAAAGCAAACAGATGAATTTATAAATATTGATTCTTCTTTCTTCTCCGAGTTGTATTTCTTGCTGTTTTTATGTTGTGGAGACCGAACACTCGTTCTGCACTTGAATAGATAATACGAGCCTAGCAAAATTTACCTAATTAGCAATAGTACAATTTGTAGTAGTCTACTGTACTTCATTCTTTTGGAAATTTAGGCCCTTTCTTTCGTCAGTCGTAACTTAAATACTACGAAGAATTCAAAAGACACTTCTGTTTGAACGTAAATTAAAAACATAACACATTTGTTATACATTTGTACAGGAAGTCTTGCGTTGCCTATTGAAGCGCGGAACGAGAGTTGGTTTCCACAACATAAAAATATTGATTCACTAAAAACATGATACAGTAAAAATTTTATAAAAGGATAAATAAAGGAAAACTGTGAAGGAAGTACAAACGATATAAATCTGAATCAGAAAATAAAATTTATGTTCTTGAAGAGAAAAGATGGCTCACATCAAAACCAGCGAACGAATAACTTAAGATGATCGAAACTGATAAGAAATCAATAATAAAAAACAACCAAACCATAATGAAATTCCCAAGAATGAAAAGATTCGAGTGAATGCCAAGGAACAAAAATAATAATTGCTAATACATTTACACTTAAGAATCACTAAGAGGAATCATGAAAACATAATCTAATATGTAAGATTTTTTTGTTCAATAACTGGTAATTAACTGTAATAAAAATAATTTCTAGTGTTTATGCAACAATCACCAAAATCGCACAGATAGGGGAAAAAGCATAAAACTGCTTATTTATATAACAATGTAAAAATATAACGAACCAATCAGAATAAACTCAAAAGAAAGAATCGAGAATTTAGTTTACAAATTGAACGCGCGAAAGAGAATTGAAGCAAACCGGAAGACTGGTTTCAAGGTCATCGACTACCTCATCCAACTGGTAACAGATTCGAACAGTTGAAAAATGATTCATTCATTTTAAATAAAAATAGTAGTACTTTTTTTTTATTGTTAAGTCTGTACACGGAAGATATAATCACATCAAATGACGATTTAGAAACGTCGGTGAAGAAAGCAGCATTTCGACATCTTATGAGAAATTTCTTTATTTTGTACAAAACCTTTTATTTTCCGGTGGTAAAGAATCATTAGCGGAAAATAAAAGATTTTATTTTTTTTTTTATTAAGAAATGTCGGAGATCATAAGGCATTTAAGTTAAGTAACTAGAACAGATTTATTCAACCCATTAATGATTTATCTCGGTACACGTAAAACTGCAAAAAAAAAAAAAATGACGGAACTAACAAAAACAGTTTTCCGACATTTAGAGAAAACAAAAGAATCGTTTGTAAACAAGGACCAACATTAAATGATGAGGAAGACAAGGATCAGAAAAATCTATAATTAAATCATTCGCCTAATTCTCTATTCAAATTGGGAATTACGGAATCAAGGAAAAACAGAGCGAGAATATCACCAAACCACAAAATTAAATTTGATCGCACTCGACGTATAACTTAAAAAAATAAACAACCAAGTTAGACTATATTTTAAGTGAATCTGGATATAAAGTATAATTACTTTAGCAATAGTTATCTATATTCATAAAACAGGAAGTCGTAGAAAAGAAAATCTTAAAACCGATTATATCGTAATAAAAAGTTAATTGATAGATCTATACGAGGAAAAAAACATTCATAAAAATATATAAAATGACAGCAAACTTTCTCACTACACTTTTTAAGATTAAATCATACGTAGAAGTCTATCTATAGTGTATCTATCTATATGTAGAAGTCAAATCTATAGTGTAATTAAATGAAAAGAATTTAGTCGATACGACTTACGAGCTATACCAACGAGTGATCTCTACGTCATACGTTGCCAAAAGAATAACAATTTATACCCGTATTGTGTAACGAGGATAACTTTCGCTATTTTTATTCCAGTTGTAACTGTGGGACGAAGTAAATTGAAATATTAATTGTGATTTCGAAGCAAAATCTAAGTATAAAACATTTAGAAATCTTATTTTAAACTAATTAAATTATATTAATTTTGAAATAAAACGTTTAAAAATAAACTTATTCCATAAAATGAAGTAAGTTGCCAAAGAATAGAGTTGTTTCTTAACCTGGGCTTCAAACACCGCTTTTGTCTTATTTACGAGTTTCTTCCCGCCTTTTCAACTGCATTTATTTTTTTAGTAATAATCGGACTACACAATATAACATAATAAATATTATTATTATCGAATTTAAACACAGTTTGAATAATCCTCTTAACAAAATATTAATGTTTTAGTAACTGTGAAGCCCAGATTTTTAAGAATTTCATCAAGGACGAGAACGAGATAAGATCGCGCGCTGACAGACACTTCACGTGAAGACTCGAGCGAATCTCGAGATTCGTGCATAGATAGCTCTTGTGTTTGAACACCAGGTGGCGCAGAATCAGGTGTTCCGAACACTAATCGTGTATCCGGCGGACGTTTGGTGGACTACCCGATATTAATCTGAGGTTCGGAGCATCCGAACTCGTTTAACGTACCGCAGAATGTGACCCGGCACGGAGCGTCGGATCACGCCAATCCTTCGAACCAGTGTGGTCTGACCCGCGGGTCACAACGCGGCTTAGTGTTCGAATGTAAAGAAAACGCAAACGGTATCGGTGGAGAACGTCTCGTTCGCAATTTCTCCTACCCGTCGGGTGGTGGCAGACTACGTGTTTCAGATTAAAAGATAGGCCTCCTTCTTCCCAAAGAATTATTCATTGGTTCTTAGTATTTCTGAACAGAGTAAGACGTGATATATTTTTAAATCACAAAAGAAATCGCCTTATTTCTTTTTAGTAGCAACTAACTTTTTTATGAAAATCTACGTGAATTACACAAATTGAATTTTTAATCTAAGACACGAATACATTAAGAATTATCGAACGTAAATGCCTTATTACTTACTTTGAAATAATCCAGGTACTAATTTGTACACTATGTCTTGAAGGGTCTTGTCAGCCCTGTATATAAATTTAATATCGTTAGCTTTAAAAAAAAATAACGTTACTTACTAAACAATTATCTAAATTATTTAATTAAACATCGAGTAGACATTATAATTCCTTAAACTAGACGAAAGCCGACAGCGACAACAATTAAATCCGGATAATACAAATTAATGACTGTAAACTGCCCATCCCGACAAAGTATCCCCCGCATACCTCGATTCGACACAACGCGGTTACAAAACTGGCACAAATTATTTTATCGCTATTCATTTCGGAAGGCTTAACCGAATGATTAAGCATTCGTGACGAAAGCACGTTCGGCGCGACACACCATCGCTCCACATTATTTTCATCGCCAGATACCGCGAATTCACGCAATTGCGTAGCTAAATTTTCGTAAGGAATAAAAAAAAAACAAACGCATTTGTTAAGAAAAGCAAAGATTTTCGAAGATCCTTCGGGAGTTTACGAAACTATTTGATTCGCAAGATCTAATTTGAATCATTAGGTCGACGTCCCTCGATGAATTTAAACGATAGCCGCCTATTCATAAAAATTATTATTCTAGTTGCAAGGGCGATTTAATTATCTTGCAAAATAATTAAGTAGACTTATTTCGCCGAATCTTTAATCGTAAATATTTATTTCTTGGTTAATTACAATCACGACATTTAATAATGACGATGATAAAATATACAGAATTATTTAGGTCTAGGAACAATAGTTCTCAACCGGAGTGCCACAAATTATAATAGATATGTTAAAATATTTCGAAATAAGCATTTATAAATGTAAATCTTTTGTTTCTATTAAATATTGTTTGTGTTTTTATATGAAAACTGCGTATCTTCAATATCGCAATTCGCTTATACACAATATAAGGGGCATCAACATTTGTGAGTCGCTAACTGCTGAAAACCGTTGAGCATGGAACTTATCAACTATTTTAACCTAATTTTGGTTTTCGGAAATTCGGTATTATTTCTATTTTAACCTAAAAAATACCAACAATGCAGCTTCTTTATTAATTACAATATCTAATCGTGAATTTTATGATTATGCCAACGTCATTATGACTGTTTAATTACATTCAATGATTTTTGATTGTTTGTACAACAGATTTCGTGTGGTCGTACGACAACTTTTTAAAATTTTTCGATCATTCACCAACGAAAATATTTCGAAAATGGTAAAAATATATTATATTGTATAATAGATGTAATGATAATACCGTATAATCTAACGGTATAAAAAAAAAAAAAAAAAAAAAAAAATTAAGCATTTTAAATGACCTTCCAATGAAATATGCTGCTAATGCAAATGGGTACAAGTTTGTTTATTTCTTTTTTCCTCTTGTCTCTTTATGGGTCGATGGCCGTCGCCACAAACCGTGCCACTTTAGGGAATGGCTATAACCCGACACAAAGAGTCGGGGGTAAACTAGCCCATGGGAAATATGGGATTTATCCTCGGTCCACGGCACTTTCCGTGCAGGGTCGAAGTCAAACTATCATCTTCCGTCGGGAGAACCGCCGAGCGGACCCGAGAGGACTACTCGTCCGATCTGTTTCGGAGCGTAAAAGGATCCACATGCCATTTTTTTTATTTTCTGAAAACATGAAAAAATATAACAAAAGATGGCATTTGGCAAAGCACCGTACATTACTTTACGAAATCGACCGAGAATCAACGGCTTCTTATAAATTTAGAAAGCGATCCATTAAGATACACCGTACTTTAGAGTATCCCTTCTCGTATCTTTTCGAATAACTTTTTATTAACATAAAAAGAAAATAAATTTAAATTACTTGCATCAGAACAATATGCTTGAAAATACTACGCTTATATAGCTTATACAAGTATAACAATTAAGCAATTCCATTGTGTCAAAATTATGCCAACACTAATAAATCGATATAACTGTCATTAATCCTATCGATTTATCTATTTTGAATGATATACAGTATATATAGGGTCTATTATAAATTATTTTCCTGTGTTTCTTGAATAAAGATCAAAAGGACAACCCGTTAGTAATTTCCAATCGTCACAATTTTATTATACAGTAATTTCATTTTTAATTATGACGAAGTAACGTTAAGGAAGCGCGCTGATACTACCATCTGGAAAAAATCATTATCTTTCAATTTTTTATTCAGTAATCGATTATTATTAATACTTAAAACGGATATTATATCCGTCTTTTATAAAATGAAATAAAAAATGTATTTTTCTTTTTACTCTTATACACTTCTTTTGCGTTTAATTTTATATAAAGTTAACCAATACAGGCTAATCGTCAGACTATGATAAAGGAATTAAATTAAGCTACTAGATTAGTTTCATCGACTAATTTTGAATTTAAAAATATGTAAGTTACGAGAAGAGAGATTCGTCAAAATTTAAGTAACAATCAATCTTAATGTTTTTTAAATCGGCTTTAGTAAATTTAATTCGGACACAACGGATGGCTATAGGTTTTTAACTGTTGTTATTGTAAAATCGTTCCCGTTAAAGTAATCGATGACAAAATAATTATCTCAGATTATTTGTCTTCTCTCAAATACTAATCTATGAGATCTCACCTAAGAAAAAATGTCTTTAAAATTCGAGAGATAAAGCTTCCGTGTCCGAAATTACAAAATTTATATTTCCGATATCGACGAAACCTGAACAGTTTTTAATGTGTCAAGTAAACTTTTCGACTTTTTAAAAGGATTTGTCATTCAATACATGTTGTACGAGTACAATAAGATAATCGTTAATGCATTTTTATGCACAAAAATCTTTCTTCCGCTGCGATGATCAAAATTTGTACGCATAATGTATGATGTTTAAAAGTGAAGAAGATACCGTCGTCTACACTTACTTCTAAAGAGCAAGCGACAGAGATAATTGGCGATTTAACCATCGAGGACGACAATTAAGGAGGAGGAAAAGATTCCTACTGTTCGTAGACACGCGATCAGTGCGCCACTTTCCGAATGGCAAAGAGATCGCACGCTTTTCGAAGATGAAAGGTGATGTCGAAAGTCATCCCAGAAACTTTTGATGAACCGCAAGAAAAACGTTCGTCGCGCGAAAAACTCGTTATTGCGTGGTCGGAGACCATCATCCTAGTTAAGTTACATCGTACGGAACCGGAATAAGAGGTAAGAACCTATCCTAAACTTCAATTTTCTCAATTTTTCCTCCCGTACCTACACGTTTATAACCTAGGCGTTTCCTACAAGAGGTAATTAAATATAATAAGTTACTTACCTTATGTTTAATAACGGTTTGGCTTTGTGGACTTGCACGTCGCAAATAGGACAGAACTTTGTCGTTTCCAGATAACGGACGATGCAGGTTCTGCAAACTGATACCAAACAAACCAGTTAGATGCCTTCTGTACAGAATAAAAGCTCTAACGAGACAAACCTCATCCCCGGATAATTCGCTTCGCCTTCGATTCGTCGCCTCTGAACATTCGAGCAATTAAACCTAGTTTCTAACGGCTGTCTAATTATGACAGGATCGAACCGAAGTTCGTCTTTTAAGTAAGACGAAGACGAATTAACGGGGGAACAGGTAAATCACGCTTGGAAAAGCGAAGGAGGCGGGTGTATAAATTAAAACCGAGCTACTTACAGGAATGGAGGCATTCGATGATGGTGGTGGCATCAACAAGATATCCTCCGCAAAGAATGCACGTCAAATGGGGATTCAAATCCGTGATCTTCAAACGAGTTGGGCGATGCATGGCTTCAACCGCCACGCTTACAGACACCTTTCTGTCCCAACGGAATACTCGGTTTACCTGTAGGGGGAGGAAAAACACCCATCAATCGTCGATCTTGTCCCCCTACGGTCCCTCTCTCCCACCGCCCGACGTTTCTTTCCAAGGAATCGATTATACCCAGATCGGGTTTCCATACAGAGGGATGGCGGGACGTCGGTCCGCATCGATCGCGCGGTTTGGGCGCGGCGCGTCGTACGTGGCGGAGCGCGACGAAAGATGCGGTTAACCCCGTCCGGAGATATTTAAAGGGAAACCAGGCCGGAGAATAATCCGGAAACGTTCCCATTCGCCAGAAAGATCCACTTTCTCGGTCGAGGCCGTCGAAGGCAATTAATTATGAAATAATCATAATCGCCGTCGAATTAAAAATTTGACTGAGAAAGACGGAAAGACAAGCGGCAGCGCGCTCGTCGCCTATTAATTATCCTCGGCGCGACCCCAGCACCGGGTCGTGATATGGAGGTCGTTTCCACGGAGACCGGAAACGTTAGGAGCGGCGGGAATCGTCCTTCCCCGCGTCGACGGCGGTCGCGGCCAATCGCTTCGTTCTTTTCGGTCGTCGCTGAATGGAAGGTTGGCGGCGGATTTCGATCGAAAGAGGAGAACCGGCCGCGTCGCGTTTCCCTCTCGACCTGTTCCCCGCTCTTGCCCATCTCCGACCGGATTCGTCGTTCTAACCGAAGATTTCTTCATTTTAATTACGTTTGGATAACCGATCAAACGCCTCGGATGGACACTTCCATCCGAGTGCGAGTAGAGTTCGCGTGCGAGCTAGACGACGCGACTCCGCTTCTATCCAAAGGAAGACGAGGGACTTCCTTGGCCGGAACGGAGGAGTTTCCGTCTGAAGAGAAAGAGTCGGATGGAAAAGGACGAGAAGCAACGCTTGGAAAGACTAAATTACGCTACGCGCCGGTCCCCGGCACTAAGCCCAGGCGGCGGGCGCGTCGACTTCCGAGAATCCTCTCCGAAAACGTAGGGCGATGGGAGGCGAAGAACCGCCCGAGACCAATCGCCGTTTGTCTCTCGGGGCCGACTAATTAGGACGGGGGCGGTCGAAAAATAATTCGACGCTTTCCCAAAGAACGGATGAAGAACAAAAGGCGTGTTTCTTTCTGGCTCGATTTAACGCTATCCGTTTTTTAAAACATCTCTTATTACGGGTCTATCTTCGACAATCGATGATTTCCGTCTTTGTTACCGGCAATCCCGACGTGATAAACATTGTCAATTGACCAAATGGAAATCATAATAACCTTTCGAAGGAAGTAGTTTCCGTCGCTAGAAATTCGAAGACGTCGAAAGAAAATAAGACGAATCTCTCAGCAAGGATGAGGAATTAAGGAAGGATTGCACCAAACGAAAGGCATCTGCTAGATAAGAGCTTAGGAAGTAAATCCTGGAGAAACGACGTAAAACACCGCCAATTTTGGTGCATATTTTATTAAAAAAAGTACAATTCCGATTTTAAAACCAGCTTAAATAACTCTATTGATATAGCCTATAAGCAGTCATTTGTGTGAAAATAAAAATAAATAAATAAAAGATACTGTTTCCAACAAGAAAAAGAAATATCGAGAATGATAGATTCCGTACGATTGGTCATTTTCATTACCCATAAAATAAGACGTTGTATAATAATTACAAAAGGAGAGTCTCCGATCAAACCTATATCAATAATAATAAATAAGAACTTATTAAAACCGATCGATATCCTCGTATAGTAAACCAGCAAAATGGCAAAAGTAACCTTGAAACATAAGATTGATAATTTCCTCATACGGCGAACTTAAATATTCGACGATTCGTTTTCAAATTAATTCCCTATTTACAAATAATAATTTTTTAACGGTGGAGACATTGTAGTTCTGTCCTCACCCACTTCAAAATCGTCTACTCGGAAGGAATACCGTTCATGTCGTATTGAGAGTGACGGTGGGAGAGATCGTCGAACGTAATCGCCCGACGTCTTAAATCCAGCATAAAATTTGAAATAATTTATATCTGTTAATTCTTGCAATATTTTGATATTTCTTTCCGATTCCAATCAAAAGAGACGGACTGTATTTAATTATTTCAACTATTCTCAATACCATATTCCTTATTGTTGCTTCAAAACTTGAAGACGGTGAGGGATATAATTTTAGTAACAATCTATTAATTCAAAATACAGAGATAACATCTTTTTACGTAAGTTATTTTAGCTTGTTTAATAAAATAAATATAATTTTAATTAATAAACTTCAGTTAAGTACTCTGAGGCCGATAACCCTTGGAGTGGTGGTGGTGATCGTCTTGTCGGTTCTAAATAAGATCGAGTGGGAAAACGAGAAACGACGAGACCCGGACGAGATCGACAGACGGGCTTCGATCCGGGATTCCGGAGACTGACTACGAAAACGATTTCGAATAAATATCCTACGGACCATGGCCGAAAGGCGCGAAAAAAAAGACCATTTTTGCCCGGTTTGAAGGCCACTCCAACTAATCGAGTGTAAAGAAACGACGAAAACGACTTCCGCCGCCAGAAAAATAATATGCAAAAGCAATCGGCAAGATAATTCATTCGATCTGACGTTTTGTAGACCCTCCACAACGAACTTCTGGCTAATTCCCAGTTACGATTGTTCTGTAATCTGTTACAGAAACAAATTTAATCTTTCAATAATCCACATTCTGTGACGTGTAAAGAAAAACATCGACCAACCGACTTCGCACCTAAATAAACTATTAAAGAAGAAAGAAAATAACGTCTCCAAATGTAGAAAGTGCAGAAAATCTAAGTAGTTTATTATAAATCCCAATAGTATTTTTTAATAACCATTTCAAAACTACTAAACTTAACATTGAAGTACAGATTATGTCAGATCTGCTTCAATACTGTATGTCCGATTTCACTGTACAATCCAACAACGCTTAAAGTTTAATAGAGAACCAATAATAAAGTTAACGTATCCAGCAAAAGAAAATTCTTTACGAAAAGTGTATTTCGACTTTTAAAGTTGAATTCATTCATTGGAAGCACGCGACAATCAAAGTCGCTTAAATAACAACTTAATTACTTCCAATAACACACAACATTTGTACTCCCGGTTAATTATTTATCTGTAATATATTAAAAGCCGACTTAGGCCACTCCCAACCAACTACGACATTACATTTGAGAAAAATTAGGTCACCTTTCATGCCCCTATTGAAATATTTTCAATCGGAAGCTGGACGTTCGATTTTCTGTAGTGTGGAAGACTCCATCACCCCAAACAATAATTAGGCCTATTTACAACAAACAGATTTAAAACAATTCTTTTTTAAATGTTAGAATAATATAACCACAAAATCGAAATGAACCGACGAGTTTGAGAAAATGGTCCTTAGGCCTACGTATATATCGTATTCCACGAAATTAATTAATCAGAAAAGTAACGTTTCCAATTAAATTTAATATTACTTACAATTTAAATATTTCGAAATCTCCAATTTTATTCCGGGAAAGTCATTTCAAATTGTGAGCCACACCAATTTTTCACCACCAGACCAAAGAAAGTCTCTCTCTCGTAATACATTAATTAAATTCTGAAGTTGAAGCTTTCAAAAGATGAAATTTTTGTCCCAATCTTCTACTGACAAAGACGCGAGTAAAATTTGGGAAATAAACTTATACAGAGAAGAAAGATTAATTAGTTTTTAAATACGTGATGTAGAAGAAAGTAATATGATACAATAGGAAATAATTTCAGCGTTATCGTTGTAACGCTGAAATTATTTCCTATATGGTTTACCTTTTCCATAAAATTTGAGTAGATCTACTTCTAATAATGATAAGTCTAACGGGCAGATTGCAAAAGCTATAAATTGTAAGGAAATATTACACGATGATATAGTGAGAACGAATTCGTCTAACGCAGTTATATTAGAACTACATATCTGTATTAAACCAATGATAAATGGAATCTACAAATTCTTCGAGTAATCTGCTTTAAAACATCGATTAAACTCGTTAACACAACTATTATCCATGACTAAATTGTTACGTTTTGTTATCCGATGAACTTTTAATGTTTAATATGATATTCACAATGTATGCAAACAATAAATTTTAATTTGAACTTTAAAATGATTTCGATGGAGGAATAATCAATTTTGTTTAGAAATTTCGAGAATTAAAATGTCTAGAAAATAAAATTATTCAGTATATACCCTTGAAGGCAACAGGTTGACGCTTAAAACACGAACTAAAATTCGGATCTAAGCTTAAAAGATTACAAAATATTAAGTCAATGTATTGTTGCGAACTTTATTTACGATTCGTACTTTGATGAGATCATCTTGGATGAATTTAGGGGTTAGTTCTTCGTTTTCCGGATTGCGATTATTAAACCTCCCTTTCATATTTAATCTGCATAACCTAGCTTTCTATCTCTAAGATAAATGCTAATAAATAGCCTAAGACAAACTATTATAATGAACAAAATTAAAATAAAAAACTCCATAAACTCCGACTCATAAAATAACAACCGAAACTCGGTTTTATTTTAGTAACTTATTTTAATAATTTTAAATAACAATCGAATTTATTCTTTAAGATTTAAACGGTCTATCAATTAAAAGAAAAGTTGACAATTTCTCTCCTTAATTCGTGTCTGGTGTTGATAGGGCCTTTTCCATAAATAAAGCCATATGTGAAATCATTTATTAATTAGATTACTCGATTCCAGTATAACAGGAATCCACAAATACTAACCTAAAATGTACGAAATTAAGTTATAATTATCGGATGAAAATCGAATTAATCGATAGCTGCAATCGATTTAAAACCTCAGGAGAAATTAACACTAATTTCCTTTTGTTGATTGTGACTTGTAAATTATTGTAAAGACGAAAAACGTATAGCATAATTTATGGAGAAAACTTTCGTAGCCACTCTGTATTTTAGACTCGTAATAAATTGTTTCGAATAAAAATAATTTCATCGAGTCACAGAATGCAATAACTACAATAAGTACGAGAGAAACTAAGCAGTTTAGCGACTCCATTTATATAAATCAGCGGAATATTATCCCATTTTAAAAAGTTTACTCCAAAATTCGAACAATTTTTAAAGCAAAAAGGTATATTATATTTTGTATTATAACTAGAACGACTTTGGACTCGGATATATTAATTACTAGTTATGCTATTGGGATCTACAGGTAAGTGAAGAAAAGTTGGCCAAATACAGTGAAAAATCTATCCGTCGGTATCAAAAATAAAACGGAAAGAAAATAAAGTTTGTTTAACTAACGGCAAGGCTTTTAGACCGGTGTTTGACGAGCTAAATCAACAAACCTTCGAAACTGGTAAGCTTCTCGGCAGACAGACTACCGCATTCACCCGTTTACAAATAGAAATGAACACGCCATCAACAAACCACATTTCGAAATTCTGACACCTTTCTTTGCCCCCTAAACTTAATTAATCTTATAAAAAGAAGAATTAAAATCCTTCCGTTAAATAGTTTCAGTTATTCGAGCAATTAATTTTTCATTAAAAAGTTAAAAACTCGCATTAAATTTACCTTAAATTGAATTCATCCAGTAGACCATTAGCCTAACTTTTCGATTCTAAACTTACTACTACTAACAAAAACAACAGGAGCCGGCCGAACAACAGACGGCATCAACCTACCAGTTCAGGGTGCCGGATTCAAATCTGCGCTCTCGAAAAATTCTAGGAATTTTTCGGGAGTGGCCTGTTCCTGATAAGTCGAGCCCCGACCCTCACCACCCGCTGTCTTGCTTAAGCCTGGCCGAACCCACGACGGCTTGAATAAAAGGTCCTCTTAGCGCCCGCAGGGCGGAAAGAGTTAAAAAAAATTACAGCAGTAACAATAGAAATCAGTCAGTATGTTTAAAATTGTCCGTAAAGTAAACACGTTAGAAAAAGGACAGAGTTCTTCAGTCAGTAAACAATTGGAAACAAACTTCATCCATAAACACACACAACTTCTTTTAATTAATGACTGGCCAATCACAAACCACTTAAAATCGTCGCCGTTTACCATTGGCTGAAAGAAAACACCGGCACTCTGTGGTATTATAATACGTTTTTCCAATTAAACGGATTAAATTTCAAAAATAGGAAATTACGTCGGTTGGAGACGAGAAATCTGATATTGTCCTTTCCCACAGAACTTATCCAAAGGAAAATATGGGAGGTTTTCGTACGAGACATACAAGTCTGTGTAAAAGTAAATACAAAATAAAAATTTTTTTTAAAATTGGACCGGCGATTTTCGCTCCGAGCGAAACGCAAAGCGACGATAATCGATCGACTTTAAATACTTACGAAGTTTTAACGCGAATTTCTCGTACTTCGGTACTTACTTTGGGATACTCGATCCGATTTCATCAACGAGGATTCTCTCACTTTTAGACGACCGAATGCAATACACCTGAAATTAAATTTAGACACGAGTCAATCGCTTACATTTAAACAAAAGACTAATTCCTAAGCGCGATTGGCAAATTCGAATAAATGAATGGACTATAATTACGACGCGGCTTTCAACTGAAAATTATTGAAAGATAGATTTGCGAAATTACGAAATTTCCGATAACGAATATGATGCTTTTACAGAAATTATTAAACATTTCTGATTAATCGGATTTACCTGTACAGTACTTATTAATAATAGGCTACTTGTATTTTTCGTAGGTGTATCCCGCCACCTACCTCGTATGACACCGTCTGGAAGAACTAAAAATCCCACGTGCGCCTTTACTCCGAGGTGCATCGATGTTAGAACAGGTAATATAAAATGTTAAAGGTGTGACGACAGTTTCGACCACCGACGCGTTGGTAAAAAGATTTCGACCAGGTCCGGTCATTCTTCCCCTCCCTTTCCCTCTTTTTCGATGCGTCGGACCCTCTTCCTCCCTCGGGTCCGACGCACCTCCGGCAGAATAAGGCGGCTCCGAAACATCACCGTCCGAAGGGGGCGGGTCGACGGCGCGAAAATTACAACCGCACGTCCCGACGGATCCTCCTCCGTCAGCCGTCCCATTAAACCCGGGTAGCGCGGCCTTCCGGACTAATTTCCGTCGGCTTTCGAGTGTTTAGGGCAGCGACAGAATCCGTCCGACTTCCTGCGTGGCCGTCGAGACGCCACCCGGCAACCGGAGCGGAAACCAAAATTGGAAGGCCAACCACCATTTCGTCCACTTTTAGCAGGTTATTTAGGGTGTAGCTCTTTAGAACCCGCCGAAGCTTCCGTCGTTCTCCAGAGCTTCTCTGGAGAATGACGATCTCTCTTCTAAATTCGAACCCGGGAACCATCGTCAACCACTTCAATTACTTCTTGTGCAGTACGCAACTTATCCCAGGTGAGGTTTTATTTGTCGGGCAAGCGCAGCCGACAACGTATTTCCGGTCCCCACGGAAACATTATCGAGGAAGAATAGACGACAAACAGGTAAGCTGACATCGGGAACAAAACTTTGAGTGAAAACGCTAATCTTGTGTACTGGCGCGAGGGATAGGGGTTCAGATCAACCCTTCTGGATCGGAAGGAGGGTCAGAACGGGGACGTCCCGACAGATAAAGATAGAAGACAGAGACTGGACGGCAATAGTAAAGAGACGAAATTTTTCCGGGCAAAACAGTTCCAACGTAAAAATTTTCTGGATGCTTCCTAAGGTAAGAAATTCCATCGAACTTTTTCCGACGAAACAATAAAAACAGAAACTAAGGAAAATGTCAAACAACAGGTACTGTACTAGTTCCGAGCACGCCAAGTTACGATTGGCCGAAACTGCGACGCAGACGGTAATTAAGCAACGACGTTTCAAATCCCTTCGGTTAACGGCATCCGAGTTAATGATATTCCCTCCGAAAAGTTACCACGTGGTTTAAGTTAAACGTCGAATTGGCGGGAAACCGTCGATGCAAATAAAATAGAACCGATGCACAGATTCTAAGAAAATTAATTCAGTGTTAAAATTTTCGTTTTAGTTACTGTATACTGTACTGAAATTCGTACTGTATACGTATACATGTATACAGGTATAAATTTTATATATATATATATATATATATATACATATTCATTTGTGTGTGTTTAAGCGTATTTATAGTACTGTACAGTACAATATATATAGGCCTATATATACACACACAAACACACGCAAAATAATTTCCTTAAACAAGCGATATTTACTCCTAAATACTTTCTCGTCAAAATATTTTAAACACATTTCTATTGTTTTGTTAAATTGTTTACACGCCCGAACACTTTGTATCTAATTATTGAATCGAATGAAAAACGAGTTCGACCGTCGGAGGGGGAGGAGTTTAGTGTCTTTTACCGGTTTATCGGTCGACGCCACCCACCCTAAAGAAATCGTTTCCGCCTACGCCCCTTCTCCGGCGGTGACCCCCCCCGAAATCACGGTTCGTCCGACGGCCGTTTAGGGGAGAAAAAATCTCAAATCCCGATTCGAGCGGTAAAACGTGGCCGTCGTCTCCCCCTTGGGAGTCGACACTCCCCGAACCCAGAAAAAATTAGGCGGAAAAGCCCGAAGGCCTGGTCTCCTAAAAGTCAAGCCGGGGACACGGAACGGAAGGCGCCGACGCCGGCCTTCTAGGACTTCTCCCATTTAAGAGTGCTCCTAAGACTAGGGGCGACGGGCCTGTTTCCCGCACCTAATCCACCACTAAATCCAGCCCCAGGGTAATTCACCCCTCCTTCCCCCTTAGCGTTAGGGTTAAAGGCGACAGGCCTAAACCGCGACGTTCCTCAACGCGCGCCGCGGTGGCCGTGGGGAAGACGACGCCGACAACCCAAACCGACGACAGAAAGAAAAGGACTTACGGAAGGGAAGGTGGCAGTCTGCGAAGGGGGCGACCGCCCATGGCCTCTTACGCAGGGAACGCCTCGTAATCCGGGATCCGACGGCCTCCGTCTTCCTCTCTTTTACCGTTCCGCGCGCCTCTCGACCGACCGCGTCCGCGTCGATCTTCGGACTCCGCTCGCCGAGGCGGGAAGACCCCAGACGCGTCACGTGACCGCACCACCGCCGGACCGCTTCCATTCCCTTCCCGAGGGGAGGACGGCCGACGGCGGACGCCGGCTCTTCCACTGCCGGTTAGGGTTTACGGAACACGGATCGGACCAATCGCCTTCGCCTTAATCGTTACGTAAACGAACCGGGCGAATTTCTATTCGATTACCCGTTTCCACCGTCGACCGTCGCGCCGCTCCGACCTTCGTTCGGGATTTTCTTTTTTTTTTTCCTCTCTCTCTCCTTCTTTCGCTTCGGTCGATGCGGGAACGAACCGGCGGCAGAGAAAGCGGAAACGGAACGGCGCGTAGCGGCCGGGAAAGGGCGCGAGACGTCCACCCTCCGTTTCGCGCGCCCTACGCGTCGCGCCGTATGGCCCGGAGACGGACTGGCTCTTCTTTACTCCGGAGGCGTCGCCGGGCCCCGGGCGGCGGAAAGATCGTCCCCCTTCTCTCCGGAAGCCTCCTCCGGCCCGGGTGTCCTTGGAAAACGCGCTTCCACGATTTAAAAATTGTTTTCCTACTTAAATTTGCTCTGAATCTCTGCCGTGGCTACGGCTTTCTTCTATCCTCTACCGCATCTGGTTGTTTGCTCCCGTCTAGCCCGAGGGTTAATCCCTCGGACCTGGCGCGGACTTATCTCCGTCATCACTCTGACCCTTTCCCTCCGTTACACGTCGATTACTCGGGAACCCGCTACCAAAGCAAGCGCGTGGAGAAAAACGAAAAGTTAGGGAACCAATCGAAATTAAGGAGTTGAGCGAAAGTGGCGGAAGAACGAGAAAGAGGAAAATAATTGCTGAGTTGTAAGGAAGCGCTCGGAGGTAGAACTAAAGAAGGATGAAAACGGTGGAAAACGGACCCGGACGGAAGAGATGAAATTCCGGTAAAAATACCATCGGTGGCGAGAAAAGGAACGCTTTATCCGGGATGTACTGTACAGTACTAGAAATTGGAGAGCCGATGTCCTAGATGGATTATCGAGGAAAATCCTGGAATCTTACCAGAAATCTTTTGTTTTTTTCCTGCCGCGGCAAAACAAAGAAAGAGTTTCTGTCGTCGGACACCCCAATTAGCTATTCGTTTGAATTCGGAATCCGGAACCGTCGTACCGCCCGTCCAAGTACTATACGACTCTACACACCGAGACGATAAAAATTAGCTCGATTGTTACGTACTGTACTGTACAGAGCTTGCCAATTATGACGACAGTTGGTGCCGGAGCTAAAAGAAGGAAAGTGAAGAGAATCCCGACCGAGTTGCGAACCGCTGTTAACGGACGGGACCGAAATGAATGGAAAATCGCCTCTCTTCTTCTACTCTTTAGAGGTGCTTGGTCGGTAGAAGAAATTATTTCGTTCCATCCATTCTCTTCTCGGCTTAAATCTAGATCCGCGTAGAGTTGAGCAACACATTTATGCTGAAGCAAAAGGGAAAATGGCGGGGTTCCCCAATAATCTCGAGTAAACCCTATTTATTAGTCTCGATCGTGAAGTTACCGATCGACTTCAATGGAATAAATGCCCGGCGACAACCAATTTATAAATTTATTAAGTGCTGTACACTACAGTACGTTGTATATTTACGTACGGACAACAAGATCTCTGTCGATCAGTCCTTCGACTAGTACGCGTTACGAACTACGTCGACCTCGAAGGTGCTTCGATGGTCGTCGACCGTAATGACGCATTTCAGGAAAGCTGCAAAGGGAAAAAGTACGGACCCCGTCCTCGAAACAATAACTTGACGTCTTTTTTTAACCCTAATTCGGATTTCCTTTAGAAAGCGTGATGGAAATCGACGGATGAACCCAAAGGACAGAGCGATGGGGATTCTCGACCCAGTAACCAAAAGACTTAAGTTTACCATCGGGAGGGTCGGAGGTCCGGACTGTCCACGATCTTTCGGTGGCCACTGAAAGGCAGGATAGACAAACTGAACCGGAAGTGGCTGGCGGGCGGCGCTAACCCATTTATCTATTTAGGTTAGTTGTGCGGCGGAGTCTCCGTCGGCACGGTCGGAATTTATCGGTCCTTCTATTCGAGACCGCCCTCGGTTTCCGTATCTCCCATCGGTTACTGTCATCTGAAGGAATGCGGTGGTCGCGTCGTTCTACCTTAAGGACCGGAAACGTAAATTCTCGAAGAGGGACGAGGCTCAGCCTAAGAAGCGTTTGGTGCATTTCTTGCTTCTTGATCGCGGGATTCGACACATTGGGTCATCTGTCGGTCGCTCTTCCTTCCTTTATAAAAACATTCCAGTGATGACGTAATTAGGAGCGACGACCCCAACTCTCGAAATTTATAGAATACCATGAAAAGACGCGATGACCGATCAAATATTCGGGAAACAATAGAAAGATTCGGAAAAACTATCTTCGTCTTTCTAGGGTGAATGTCAAAACAAAGTCAGAGGACTCAGGAAGAGTCGCATACGGAAACGCACGTAAGAAACAGAGAACTTTCAAAATTACGTTCGTTTCTCATTCTCGGCTTTCATTCCCTTCTTCGCATAAGAAAAATGCGCCGATTTTAATCGATGATCCAAACTTTAACCCGTTCTCTTGGTCTGGCAAAGTAAGAATTTCTCCACACCAATACAGGAGGAGAAGGAAGTAGTCGGTATTTTAAGAAAGACCTATTCTATAGACCGTCTAATTGCACTTAAGACAAAAACTACTAAAACACGAAGTCCGAAGAACCCGTCGCTGTTTAAGATCTCAAGTGAGAAAACAATGCGCTTCTCCAATCCTATTTGCCAACACGTTTGAATGGTGACAATACTTATTTTTGTCGTCGTTTAAGACCTGGCCCCCAAAGGTTTATTTTCTTCTCATCGACCCTGTAAGAGGTCGTCGGAACCGCCCTACCCGTACTCGGTCGCTGGTCGCCATTCACTCGGTTAAATGACATAAAAAGAGGGAATAGCTTTCGACCCACCAATTACATTCGGTAAACCGGAAGAAAATGATTTCCGGTCGCCCGGAAAACCCAGATTCGGAGACGACCGTGAACTTAATCCGGTAAAACGGGACGGTCCCGGTCGGAGGTCGAATATTCTCCCTATTGGTTGGTAGATGTAAAGTTAGCCTACACAATCATTATACATCGTTTCTGAAGGGAGTCGAAAATGGCCCGTCTACATCTACTCTTCTACTTCAGGAATTTGACCTTGTCGTATTTTTAATTATTCAGAAACTATCTCGAATCGTCGCGAATAAAAGCCGGGATTTCAGTTGTCAGCATCGTTAAAAATCCCAGTCTGATTACTAAGGAAGGCGTTAAATTAATTCGGGAGTTCATCGTCGAACCGTGCTCTCTACCTCCAATATCCGATCGATAGTGTCACGGAATACGCAAGCGTTACGTATTCCCGTTTCCAACACGGGTCGGAAAGAAGACGACCCAGGAAGACTACGTCATCCGCGAAGCTCTTTCTTCTTTACATATCGACGAAGACGAAATTAATACCTAGAAAGAAATTCGTCCTCCGTTAAACTTCACCGCCCATCACATCTACCAAAACCGCTTTCCACCTCTTCTAATTCCCAATTTATCTGAAGAAAAAACAAAAACATTTGTAACGCCGACGAAAGTCGTAGGCTTTTCTTTTTGCCACTTTTTAAAACGTACCCCGGAATTCCGACGATCTCCTTCACCTGCCTCCATTTCCGCCGGAAAAGCGCAAAATTTCGTGAGCGAACGAAAAAATCAAATGATTTAGATTGATTGGTGAACGCAGTATTCTCGTAGATGACGAAAGAACCCCGAAGCCCTTCCTTCTAAGGCAATTTATCCGAAGAATTTAGTAGTGTGAGATATAAGGGGAACTGTCGGATTGTCACCGTCACTTTCGTCTCGGAAGCCGTCGGATCATTTTACGATTCGTAACCGGTCGACTCGACCTAATTTTTACTAATTCCTTCCCCTCCTTTCTCACCTTTCTGTCGCAAAGGAACGCTCGCAACGGTGAGACCGATGCGATGAAAGTCGCGAGTAGTACCTAAAGGTGCCACTCGCGACTTTCATCGATAACGATGTGAAGAATACGTATTTGCTGAGGAAGAACCGGAAGTACTTATTCTCGTTGTAGTCTCGGTAGAATAATTTATACACGAGGTAGGGAAGTGTCGACCAGCAAACACTTTTTGGTCATACGTAAATTCCTATTTGTTCCTTTAAACTTTAAAGCAACTACTTTCGGTATCGTGCCTTAATTTTATCGGTGGTCAAATAATAAAGGAGTGAGATCGGAATGTCCCGCCTTCCCCTAGGTAAATGCCTCCGACCATTTGCAGGTGAAGAAAAATCGGGAGACATCAGACTTTAATTATAAACTAACTAACGACCGTAACAAAAGGATGACATTTTAGTTCCGTCGGTAGCGTAACCACAGGTATTAAACGCTTCTATATCCTCAGGCGCGTGACTCCCGAACGTCAATCGGAGGAAGATTCGTCTTCCCCTTCGTTTCATCTTTAAGCCGGACCGAAAAAGAGATCGCGGATGTTCGGTCACAAACCATACGTAAATAACGCTATAACCGAGATGGAAGAATACCGTACTTCCAAAAACTTGTTATCGCTTAAACGTCAGAGAGCCGACCTTTGACCTGCGAGTCCCGGGTGGGGTCGGAAGAATAAGATTTCGGTGGTTTAAAAATAGAAAAGAGGGTGGCCGACGATTATTCGTCCGCCCGCTATTAACCGACGCTCTTTTTCGATCGTCTTCCAAACTCGTTTTATTTTTAGGTTACGCCCGGGAGAGCCAAATTCTCCCTCCGATCAGGCGCTTTCTTCTTCTCGTTAGCCGGGCCCAGGCCCTCTCTCCTCCGTCCACCCCGATACCTCTTCAAACAGCCGAGGGTGGTCTTTCCCTCCTTACGTAGACGACGTGTTCCCCTCCGGGCCAGTATGTCACGCGCTTAAATCCTGCAGAAAGGCTTTAATCCAATAAAACCACTCGAAATGCGCCACGCGCGTAAAACAAACAGGTAAAGACGAAGGGGAAAGTCTTCAAATATGTACGGCTTTTACGGTAAATGCCAGGACAGCATCTCGGACGGTCCTTTTTTTAACGCGTCCTAATTAATCGATATTTGGCCCGCGTCGGCGCTAAACATCATTCGTACGTCCCGTCCAATAGGATTTCATCATCTTCTTACTCA